GCCGGTTGCTCCAGCCTGCAGAGCTCTCCCTGCCTCCCCACAGAGACACCCGGGGCGGGGGGCTAGCGGGGCACCAGGGTCTTTGAGGTGCGGCTGTGGCGGGGGGGAGCCATGGATGGTACCGCTTCCCTCTGCGAGGTTGTTTGCCCTTCGCCGTTGCTATAGGCCTGGGCGGGAAAGCATCCTGCGCACCGAGCCTGGCCGTGGGCCCCGGCTGCTTGGGCCGGGACAGCGAGGGGCGGTTCGTGAGCCGTCGGGCACGTCGGGGGTTCCCTGGCACGGGGAGCTCAGTCACGGGGGAGGCCTGGGAATCCTGGGCAAGTGGCCAATTCTTTTTATTTTTTTTCCCCGTTAAATTTTCCAGGTGGAACAAAATGCAGCCATGGAAGCCTCTGCTGCAGAGCTTTGTTATCTCAAAGATAATTAGAGGTGTTTGTCAAGACCTTAACGGAAGCGCGGCAGTTAGTAACAGTGTTTAAACTCGAATTTAGTGATCAGCAACATAGACTTGTTCGTTTGCTTGTTTAAAAATCTGTGTAAAATGTGACTTGCAGGCAGTGGTGAGCTGTGACCTTTGCCGACCCCGCTGGAGGGAGCAGGGACCTGCTGCTGTGGGCTGGGTCCCTCTGGGACATCTTATTCCTCCCGGGGTGGGTGATCTGCTCCCTGGTGAGCTTGTGAGGTGTCTGAAAGTGCCTCTTTTTGGCAAGAAATACTTTCTTGTTTGTTTGGTTACCTAGTTGCTTTTGGCCTCTGTTCTGGCTTTTATTTAAGGCAAGAAAGTAGAATGGGGAAACAAAGAAGTGTTTGGTAGGTGAAGGATGGCATTAGGCTGTAAGAACTGGCCTCCTGCTCCAGTGAAGGTCATTTACAGAGCTCCTGAGGTTGTCCAGTGATGAGGAGTTGTTTCTTGCTTTACCATCGTTTAGTGGTAGACTCCATCTACAACATAGAGTATTTATAGATGCATGTTTCCTGACAAAATACCGTGTTTATTCTCAGGCTGCTCTGCAGAGCACAGGTATCTAAACTGAACTGTCATGCAGGTGTTTGCGAGGGCCGGGGCTGGCCTGGGGCCCTCCGCCACGCAGGCTGCTGCGGTAGCTGCTTGGGGCGATGAGCAGGCCCCGCTGGTGCCGTTGTGCGGGTAAAGCTTGTGCTGACAGTGAGTCCTAGAAACCTGCATTTTTCTATTGTAATCCAGAAGCACTGACCTGAAAGGCAGCTGCAAAAAGACTTGATTCTGCTTTTATCTGTTCTCTTACATAAATCCCCTTAGTCCCAAAAAGCGTTTTTGATCCTTTGTTGTTGAGAAGCTCTGAGATCTTACTAGAATGTCTTGTATGAATGAATTCTGTAGGAAAAAGTGATATTAAATAGCATCAAAAAGAATTTGACTTAATGCTACAGGCAGACATTACGTGAATCTTCTCCGTATAGTTTCCCAGGGTAACACTTATCATAGAATCATAGAATTGTTTAGATTGGAAAAGACCTGTAAGATCATTAAATCCAACTGTTAACCCAGCATTGCCAAGTCCACCACTAAACCATGTCCCTAAGCACCACATCTACCCATCTTTTAAATACCTCCAGGGATGGGGACTCAACCACTTCCCTGGGCAGCCTGTTCCAATGCTTGACAACCTTTTCAGTGAAGAAGTTTTTCTTAATATCCAACCTAAACCTCCCCTGGCGCAACTTGAGGCCATTTCCTCTCATCCTATCGCTTGTTACTAGTGGGAAGAGACCAACCCCCACCTCACTACAAGGTCCTTTCAGGTAGTTATAGAGAGATAACATCTTGTTTGTGATCTTACTTGATAAATACTTTCCCAACTCTAATAAAACGTAATGTTGTAAAAAAAAAAATGAATGTAATCTACAATGGCTAAATGTACAATGCTTTTATTTCTGGAAACCTGAGTTGCAGAAATAGAGTAAGCCAGACTTTTTGGTTTATGTGGCCACCTGGATTACCCTATGCTGTATGTCCATTTCCAGGGTTGTTACTTTCCTTTAGTGGGTGCGCTCGTCAAACTTTGCTACAAAACTCAGAATCAAGCCTGAATAATAACTCTCCCTAGTGTTCCACAAAAGACTGGGCAGTTAGTTGTAGCCCTTCAGAAGCTGTTTTGCCCTGTAGAAATTTTCAGCAAAAGCTATTTTGAAAAATAAAAATAGTTCCTAGTTACAGGTAGTTCTGCTGCCTCTTTTTGCAGTAAAAGAGAAAGTCCTGTCTTGGGACAGGGCTGTAGTCCGAGGTTCAGCTTTGCGTGAACTTTCAGCTCCCTCCTGACGATGCATGTTCCTGGTTTGCGTTCCCGGTGTGGGCGTAAGCACTGCGTGGCCCTGGGTGAATGGGAATGGGGAGACAACTGTAAATGACCCCTTCCTCCTGGCTGCCCACCTGGGATGAAATTTTGTATATATCTATGAATATATTTGTGCACACATTTTTTTTCCTTTAATTTTCCTCTTTCTTCTCTATCTTTGTCTTTGCTCTTTATTTACTTCTAGTTGTGACAGAGATGTTTGGCAGTCAGTGCTTTGCTGGTGGGTGTATTTTGTTTACCAGATTTCTAATTCTTTCCTTGCTTTTTTTTTTTTTTAGTTTTGTTCTTTGATTTTCTCTGTGTATATGTGTATGGGTGTTTAAATCTTTAAGTAAAGGTTTATTGTTACCTTACGTGAAAAATGCTTGCTGTTGTGAGGAGTTTCTACCTTTTGGAGCCTAAATACATTATTCCATTTTGGGAGAGGCTGTGAAATTGCACTGTTTTCCCTTCCTTGTGGAGAAAGAAGGGAAGGTGGCTGTAGGCAGCCAGATGAGATGGATTTATTTTTTGTCCTCATTTAGATGTTTGTTTGCATGTTTGGAGTGTGATGACTTTTTGCTGTCTCGTATTTATTCAAGTATTTTTCTACTCTGCCAGAACTAACTTAGATAAATCTTTCAAAAAAGAAATCAGATATAAAAAAGGGCATAATTTTTGTTAGAGCATATGTTTGTTATTAATTCTAGATTTAGAATATGTAGTAGTATTAAAGCCTGAAATTAGTCTCTCAATAGCAGCTTATGCTTGTGAAAGTTAAAGGATGGAAATCTTCTTTTTTTACATTTACTGTTTCCTGGCTGCATGATCTTGAAGGTACCACTGGCTGGACTTTTTAAATCTAAAATGGATTATTTTGAAAGTATTAAGT